CCCAAGTCAGGTTCTAGTCAGGTACACTCAGGGTTCCTTCTAAGGTTTGGACCCCTACTAGTGAGAATTCAGGGCAAAATTTGGGGCGTTCCCTAAGGGAGGGCCGATTTTGGGACTTTCAAGCGGTCAGCTGAGTTCTCAGCCCATGTGCCAGAGGGAGGCCAGAACAGGCACTCTGGCAGTCTCTCAAGGGTATATAGTTTAAGATTTAAGTGTATTGTTAACTTTCTTTTTTATATTTCATTTATTATTTTTATTTAATGTGTATGAGTAAGTGTACCTGTGTTGTGCAATGCCTGAGGGGGTCAGAAGAGGGCATTGAATCCTCTGGAACTGGAGTTAGAACAGTTGTTAGCCACCATGTGAGTGTTGTGAATCGAACCCTGGTCCTCTTAACTGCTGAGCCATCTCTCCAGCTCCCTAACTTTCTTTTAGTAGAACTTACACCATCTTATAGTCCCACTAACAATTAATGGATGTCAATTTCTACACTCTGTCAGTACATTTTCGTTTTCTATAATTCCTAGTTGGAAAAGCATGTAATGAATCATAGGTAAAATAGAAATGATTTTCCTGTCAGTTGTCTTTTTTATCTTGAGAGATAAAGCATGTGTGAGAGACTTAGTTACAATATTCAATCTCTGGAGTAGTTAATATTGTGATCTTGAACACAGGCAAGCAAACTTTAAAGGGCTAGTAATTAATATATTATTTTAAACCAGAAAATGGTTTTTAAAATGTCTTAAGATTGGGTATGGTGGGACACACTTGTAATCCTAGCACTTGCGGGGCAGAGACTGTCTGTCTAAGAAAGGTGAAATTTTAGCAGGATAGAGTACATTTGGGAAATATGAAATTGCCATTTTTGTTATTGATATTGTTTGTGTATAGTTTGGGAAACACAAGACTTTAAAATTAATACAGTACACTGGGCACAGTGGTGCACACTTGTGATCCAAGCTCTTACCAGACTGAGATAAGATTGTGCATTCAAGGCCTGAGTAGAAACAGGGACACCAGTCAGGAGAATTACTGGACTATAGATGAGATCCTGGAAGTGATTTTTGTGTAAGTGGTGACAATGGAGATGAATAGAAATGGAATGCTTTGAGGTACATTTAGAAGACCCAGGAATACTGATGATAGTTTGATTGGAAGTAGGAATGAGAAAAGGACTTTTGTTTGGGTTGATGATGATTCCATGTATTCATAAGAGGAATTCTGTTGAAATACCTGAAGAAATATTCTTGTTTATGGGGGAGGACAAGTAGAGAATTTAGTTATGTTTTGATCTATTTAAATTTGAGTGACAGTAGACATCTAAGACTAAACTGTTAGAAAGACAGTTTGAAATAGGAGCTTGAAGCACAGGAGAAAGGTTTGAGCTCAAGAAATGAAATTAATACGGTGTAAATCAGCATATACTCCATTTCGTCTGTTCCCAAACTACATTTATTAACTTCACATCTCAGGACCCATGATACAACTTGTGATCATTTCCAGTTAGGTAGCCATCATGATGTAGCTTCCACTTGCTGTTTGAGCATGTACAGAGCATGTACATTGCAGAGTCAGAGTGGGCAGCATGCATGGCAGCAGCTTGGGGAAAAAAATCCTAGAGACAGGATGGAACACTTTTTTTGGTTTATTTATTTTTATTTTATGTGTACAAGTGTTTTGCCTGCATGTATGTAAGTGTACCACATGTTTGCAATGCCTGTGGAAGCCAGAAGAGGACCTAGGATCTCCTGGAACTGGAATTACAGATAGTTGCTAGCTGCCCTGTGGGAGCTGGGAACTGAACCTGGGTCTTCTGCGAGAGCAACCAGTGCTCTTAACCACTGAGCCATCTCTCCAGCTTCTGGAACACTGTTTTAGCCCTCAAAAAAAGTGGGAGAACGGAGAAGAGAAGCAGTGAACCATATATGCTATGAACATTCCTGATGCAGGAGCCAAAAATCTGTTCGATGCTTGGTATTGTCAGGAGAATTTCTCCCGGATACCCTGTACGTAACAAGATCCGTAGATGCTGAAGTCTCACACCAAATAATGTAGCATTTGCATATTACCTATGTATTTCCTATTGTATACAGATATTCCTTGACTTAGAATGCGACTACATCCCATTGGTTCATCATAACGTTGAGCTTAAGTTGAACCATCATTAAGTTGGAGACTTCCTGTACTACGTCAACTCTAAATCACTTAGGCGATACAGTATACTTATTATATAATTACTTAAATACCAGCCATCTCTTAAATACTTAAATATTTAGAACAGTGTAAATTCTAGTTGTTATATTAGATTGTTTAGGGAATAATGACAAAACCCAGTCTGTTTATGTTCACTATGGACAAATCATTGTGCCTTGTAATATTACACAAAACGCTAGGTGAACAGTGGTCAAAAAGTGCAGTGGGGAAGGAGTGACAGCAGGGTATGCCTTCACGTTGCTGACTCACATAGATGCAGCATACTGCTCAGCACACAGGGATTCAGGTGTTGCCTTTTGGAATTGTCTGTATTTTTTTTTCCAAATGTCTTTTTATTCTAGATTGAGTTTGTAGATAAGCAAAATGTGGCTAATGAGGGTCAATAGTCATTACCTTTGCATACTTGGGACACTGGCACTAGTAACTTTTAGATCTTATAAGAAATGCTTCATTGTCAATGCTGTGGCACAAAAATGCTTTTGTCAATTTGTTTATCCATACTGTCGTATGTTTATATAACTTATATGTGATAAAAATATGCCTATACGTGAACCAACTCTTTCAGTATTATAAAATAAAAATTCTAAGTATTAAAAAGCATTCTGGGGCTGGAGATGTAGCTCTGTGGTAGAGTACTTGCCTAGCATGTGCAAGGCCCCTGAATTTGATTCCTAGCACCATAAAAACAAAACAAAAGCCAAACAGAAAAGGCATTGTAAGAGTCTAATATGCAGAATTTTCTGTTTGTGGTATGTAAGAGTATTGTCTCTGAGAATTAGTGGATCTTAGATTCAGTGAAATATGGTGATATTTATAGCCAAGGAATATATAAGTAAAGATTGAGAGACAGCTATGGAGAATCTGCTCCTAATACCACCCACTTCACCAGACTTCTTCTTTATCGCTTCTTGGTGTTTATTTTTTAAATTAGCATTCAAAAATCTTAGGCTTCATTGTCACATTTTCATATATTCCTTTTGTTGATCCTTCAACCCTATTGCTTTTCTCATCCCTCTGGTCCCTCATTTCTCTGCCTTCCTCTCCTTAGTATCTCCCATTCCACTTTCCTGTCACATGTATTCTCTTGTCGTCTTTTCCTTCTTTTCCCCCTTCTTAACAGCTCCTTTTGCCCACTCATGGGCCCCTTTCTAGTTTCATGACTTATCCCCCCACATATATTCATACATATAAAAATTAAAATCTAGGATCTAGGGCTGAAGAGATGGCAAATTTGGTAAAGTACTTGCAAGGCAAGCATGAGATCTGAGTTTGATCATTAAAACACAAAAAAAAACCCACAAAAAAATCCAGGTGTGTACTTGCAGTCCCAGTACTGGGGAGGCAGAGAGAGACGTGGATCGCCTCCCACTAGGATTAAAGGCGTGCGCCACCATGCCCGGTTGCAAATGCTTTTTAATTACATGCAATCCCATTTGTCAGTTCTTGGAATCCTTTTGGAAAGTTTGGGCCTATGCCTATATCTTGAAGTGTTTTGTCTTTAGCACTTTCAGAGTTTCAGGTGTTAAACTGAGGTCTTTGTTCCATTTGAATTGATTTTGTGCTGGATGAGATAAATGGATCTAATTTAATTCTGCATTTGGAAATATAGTTTTCAAAGTAAGCCTTAACAAGAACTAAAAATTAAAGTAATTCTTTTTATCTTATTAGAACGTATTGGAATCAGACTAGAGATCAACAGTAAGAGAAAATATACAAATACTTAGAGATTGAACAATACATTTAAAAAATTTTTATTCTTTTTTTTTTTGGTATGAGCGTATTGCCTGCATGCATGCAAGTGCACCTGTGTCATGCAATGCCCACAGAGGAGGCCAGAAAAGGGCTTTAGATCCTGTGGAACTGGAGTTAAGGATGGTTGTTAGCGACCACATGGGTGTTGGAAACAACCTGAGTTCTCTGCCAGAGCAGCCAGTACTCTTAACTGCTGAGCCATCTTTCCATTTTTGGATGAACAGGGGTCATGAAGGAAATTAGGGGAGAAGTTAATAAATTCTTAGTGTCAAAAATGATAGCACAAAATAGCAGATCCTTTGGGATACAGCTATGCATTTCTAAGAGGAAACTTTATAGCTATAAGTGTTTACACTAACAATCATAGTGATCTCAAATAAATAAAGTAATAATGCATCTCAAGGCTCTAGAATAACAAGGAGAAGCCAAACCCAAATACATGGCAAGGAGTAATAAAGATTAGGGCAGAAATCAATGAATTAGAGACTAAAAGAACAATACAGAGAATTGGTCAAAGAGCTGATTATTTGAAATTGATTGACAAAGCTGTAGCCAAATTTACCAAAAGAAAGAGAAGACTGAAGTTAATGAAATTGGAGGTGAGCAGGGAGTTATTACATTAAACGCCAATGAAATCCAGAGTATCAATAAGAAATGTTTTGAAAACTTATCTCTGTCCTGTAAGGTGCAAGTCAAGCTTCACATTCCTCAGGGGAAAAAGATCTTCCTTAACATCTTTCATCTCTAGTGATAAAGTACAGAATTAAGGAGTATGACATAGGCTAGGTAAACTTAGGTGCTCACCATCTGCTATGCCTTTATTTCTCCTCTATTTATACTTTCAGGAAGAAGGAAGCATAGGGGGTTATAATGAGTCTTTGTTCCAGAGGAATCCAAGTGTAATGGTTGGAGTAGAACTTAGCAAGATGAGTCGGAGAGAGAAGAGCTATGGTCGTTATTTGATGATTTTTGCTAACTTAATATTTTTACCTCTATGACTGCCCACATCCTTTTTGTTTTGTGTTTTTTTTAAGGAAAGCCCAGAAGAAAGGACAATAAGCATGAGCTCTATTCGGGTAAATAAATTTATTTTCATCATGGTTAGGGATTTGATATAACTTAGTTGAAAGATTGTATGCCTCTACTTTTTCCTAGTTTTAGGCCTGCTGCCTCTTCAAAGTGCAGTGTTGACCTTAGTTCAGACAAGTGACTTTTGTCCAGATTTGTTGGGATAAACCTTCGTTCTTCTCTAGGATATAACCCTTCATAGTTTGACTCTTGGTGTTGTAATCGTTCATTGTCTCATGTAATGTAAAGTTGTATGAATCTAAAGTGTGACTGTAGTAAGACTAATTTAACAACAGTGTACAGTCATCTCATTATTATAGAAACCACTCCTATAATGGTGGCACATTTCCTTTGCATAGTACTTTGCTCAGATGAAGGTGTTTTTGTTTTTGCCAATATAATGAAAGCAATTTTTAGCCCTTGGGCTAACTTACTGGTTTAGTTCTAATTATGAGCCTAGCCCTTCTGAGCTAATCTTGCCATATGTATCCAGGATGTTGGAACTTTTCTAGGGAAAGAAAGGGAATAAGTATTACATACTCAGTAAGTAATTTTCCTTTTTCTGTGCCTGCAGGGGAAGAAATGGAACTGCTATTTGGACTATTTATTTTCAGAGGGTTTTCAAGGCTTGAAACTTTTCAGAACAAGTAGTATCCGTTGTTCTTCTGTCTCCCAGTCATAGACCACAACGGTGAACACTGGAAGAATGTTGACATAAACAAACTGGGCATGCTGGGCTAAATTCCTAATTGCTGGAGAGGTCAAATAGCTCAACTTGAGTTTCAATATCATTTCACATACAGACTGCCATCTTCAAGGAGTACTCAGACTGGCCTTCTGTCCATGGCTCAGGAGAGCCTTGGTGTGCTTAACTTATTTTGCAGAATAGAGATCTTTAGCCTACGGTTGAAAAATGACCTCTTCATCGCTAAACTCTGCCTTCACTGAATTATATGTGAAGAAACACATCTACTTTGTAGTGGGATTTCTTTTTACATTTTTGTGTACTATATTAGTAGAAGAGAACAAGTCATATACAGCAATACCTACTCCACAGGCGTATTCATGCAAGATACTCTGCTACTTCTGAAATCTCTTGGGATAGTGCCAGTTTTTCTTACATTAACACTACCAGCAGCACCAAGTTATTAAGATGCAGCACGAATGACTGAAGAGCTTGAGAAGCTCATGATGTTCTTGGTCTTCACTGATAGCAATTTTATGAGGGAAGGAAGGGGGAAAGGATGAAGACATTTCTCTTTTTATTGGTTTTATTTCTTGAAACCATTTTATATTGTTTGAGTGTATATGTATATGTATGTGTGTATGTATGTATGTATGTATTCAGGTTTTTGTGACCAGGCCTAAGTAAATTAATTGCCACTTTGCTTTCAGAAGTAATTCTGAAGCTTTTTAAAAATCCTTAGCAGATAGGATATTTTGCTGGCAATTCATTATGAAACTGTGTTTCACTACTACTGAATATGTTCCTTTTAATAAATTCACATTGCTTTAGTGGAATGAAGCTCAACTTGTCTTTTAAGGTAAAGTAGTTCTTTTTCTATTGAAACAAAACCTGTATTATTGATAGTGTTCAGACAATCTCACTCATCTATTCTTTGATTCAGTAATATTTATCCACTTCTTTACTGTGTGACAGGTCCTTCTCTACACTGGTTATACAGTTATGACTGATGCAAAGTATGCTTTTATGAGCTTTACATTGCAGTGCAGTTGACAGACATTAATAGTACAGATATATCAGGCACTATGAATAAAAAGCAAAAATTTGGAACAGAATGTGGAGAGGGTTGCTGCTGTAGATAAAGTGGTTAGGGAAAGCCTGTTTGAGGAGTTGACATAGGCAGAGACCCTAATGAAGTAAGCATAGGAACAATGTGACCATTTGGGAACCGAGCATTCTGAGCACAGGTAAAGGCAGGTAAAAAGGATGGGAAATTAATTTGTATAGCATGTTTGTGAAGTGGCCCAGGAGCCAGTAAATCTACAATATAGTGATTAAGAGAGAAGAATGGAAAGAAAGTAAATAGGAAGAAGGGCGGAGAATGGTTCACTACATATCCTTGTAGCTTGACATATATGTGTCAGTGGAAGTCATTTGGAGAGATTGAGAAGATGAATGACATCATTTGACCTGACTTTGTGAAATACAGAGCTTTGGTGTGAAGGTTAGACTGAAGAGGATGGAGGGGAAAAGCAGAGGCTAGCCAGGTTACTAGAGTGTTCTAAGCATCAGTATTAAACAAATGTGGGTATAGGGAGGTGGTTAGAGGCTGGATACAGGTTCTATTTTGAAGGTAAAGAATTTAAAACCTACTGGTAGCATGGGTTTGAGGAAGAGGAAAGAAAGGAGTAAAAGATGACTCCTAGATTTTTGACCTGAACAACTGGGTGAATTCTGAGATACACAGATGAGGAGATGCTAGAAGAGGAGACACGAAGAAGCATGAAATCAGTTTTTATTTTGTCTGTGTTAGGTTGGAGATGCTGAATAGACAAACTTCACGGTGTAATTTAGAACTAGAAAAATTAATTTGGAAGTCATCAGGGAATAATCATAGCGTTGGATGAGATCATATAGTGTAAATTAATTGGAGAGTCATCCGGGAATAGCTATGCCATTAAGTGAAATCATGGGGTATAGTTAAAATAGTGAAGGTGGCAAAGATCAAGCTCTAGCACATGAGAACATTAAGAAGTAAGGGAGAAGAGGAGGAACCAGTAAAAGTTGGAGAAAGACTTGCTGGTGAACTACAAGAACAATCAGGAGTCTGAGATGCTGGAAGCCAGGTGAAGATAGTATTTCAAAAAGGAGGGAGTATTTCCACATGTTAACAACATGCAGAAGTTTAAGAAGCTGACCTCAGAAGTAAAGAGAATAGTGGTTACCAAAAGCTGGGAAGAATGGGAGCAGGGTGGGAGAGAGGGAGTGGGTTGGGAGAAATAGCTACCAGTTACACAGGTGCAGTGGGATAGGAGGAAAAGCATCTAGCATTCTGTAGCTTCATATGGTTACTATGATTGTCAACATTTAATTGCATATTTCAAAATTGCTAATAGAGAAGATTTAAATGTTCCCCAACACAAAGAAATGATAAATGTTGAGAATTGATATATATGCCATTTACTGTGCTCTGATCATTGAACATTGTACATATGTTAAAATACCATCTTGAACCCCATAAATATGTACACTTATGTGTCAACTAATGTTTTTAAGAGAAACAATAAAATCTGAAATCTTAGTCCTAAAAAAGGAGTATCTAATGATGTGGAATGTTACTGTGTACCTGGACAAAAGAAGGTTTTTAGTTACTTCGAAGTAAAGGTGATAACTTCACCACTGAGTGGCCTTTATCACTGTGAGATTTTTCTTTGTTTTCAAGTAATTACTCCAAGTAACTTTCCAAGTGTCTTTCAGAACACGATGCTTTGATCCTTATAGTCCTATGTAGAGCTTCCAATTTTGAGAACTGGTTTGTTGATTTTTCATGTTATTTTCCATGAAATGAATACCTAACAATCATCAGGTCATTAAAGAAACTTTTCAAAAATAGAATTTGTTCCAGGAAGGAAAAATATTTTTCCTTAGGGTTTGTATTTTTGTTCTTTTTGGCCTTTCTTTACCTTGGTCAATCCTTTAATCCACGTAAGGTTAGATATAATTACACAAATAAACCAAATCTAGTTATTTGAAAATTTTGAAGACTTTCCATGGTAAAACTAAAAATGTATCAACAATTATTATTTTGCTTTGGTGCAAAAGATAACTGAAAAAAATGTGGCTTGTTACTATAAGTACACAGAATACTTTCTTTATCCAGTGTTCATTTAAAATTGTTGGCATTATAATAATTATTGACTTTAGTAATGTTCAATACTAATATTGCTATTAGATTTCTAACATTTGGTCTTCCTTTGTATCAGATATTTTCTTTCCTCTTAGTCTTGGGGTTGATCTTCCTGTAGCTCCAGCTGGCCTGGAGCTCACTATATAGACCAGGCTGGCCTCGATCTACAAAAAGGTAAATTTTGTTTTGTTTTTATAATTTTATTTTTGTGAATTTCATACAATATATTTTGATCATATTTAGCTGTCCTCCACTTTCTGTGTCCCCTTACTATCCCTCACCCAATTCATCTACTCTAATATATATTTATATGCCTATAGAGTCAAATTTGTGTCCCCAAATGCCCTTTGGTGCGGATCCATCCACTGGAGCTTGGTCAACCTACCAAGAGTTTTACCTTAAAGAGACTGACTTGCCCCCTCCTAGCAGCCATTGGTTGCCAATACTTCTCCAGTAGGGTGAGGTTTTTTGTTTTTTTTTTTTTACTGAGTTCCCCATGTCTATGCTGGGATTTGTTTGGCTTGAGTTTACATGGGACTTGCCCATGCTGTCATCATTGTTGTGAGTTCATATGAGTAATTGATCAGCTGCCTGTGTCTATATTATATTTTTAAGGTGTCTTTTTTGATTGATGCCTTTTTATTTAAATTACTAAGTTGCTTAATATAGAGAGGGTATACTTGAAAAAATTCTGTTTCTAACAAAGATAAAGTTTTTAAAAAAATATTTATTCTTTTAATTTTATGTGTACTAGTGTATTGCCTGCATGTATGTGAGTGCACCCATGTCGTGCAATGCTGCAGAGGACAGAAGAGGGCGTCAGATTCCCCTGGAACTGGAGTTAAGGATGGTTCGTAGCTGCCATGTGGGTGCTGGGAATCAAACCCAGATCCTCTGCAAGAGCAGTCAGTGCTCTTAACCACTGAGCCATCTCTCCAGCCCCTAAAGGTAAAGTTTTGATATAGTATATTGTTGATTCAATTTGCAAATGCATTATTTTCTAATAAGACGCCTTTCCAAGGAACCTAATAGTTCATTTGAATTAAAAGTCCACTTGAAAATTTATTTTGATTCATTTGTTTTTATTTTATGCGTGTGGGTGTTTTGCCTATATGTATCTAACTGCAATTGTGTCGTGCAAAGCCCACGGAGGCCAGAAAAAGGCATTGGATCCCATAGAACTAGAGTTACAGGCAGTTGTTAGCTGTTATGTGGGTGCTGGGAATTGAACCCAGGTCCTCTGCAAGAGCAGCTCCTGCTCTTAACTGCTGAACCATCTCTCCAGCCCTTAAAGTCCACTTTTCAGTATTTAAGAGGAAAATACATTTATTTAGCTTGTCAGGAAAAACATTTGCATGTCTAACTAGATTTAGTGCACAAAGTTTAGGGTTAGCTATCAGTGTCTATTGCTCTGGCATATTTCATTAGTGAATGTAGAACCATGGGAAACCAGTTATCTGCTTTGCCTCCAGGTTTCCTCGTTAGTAAAATTTATCTTTCAATATCTGTCTTTCCAGGGTTTGGCATATAAAATGATTTTTTAAAAAAATCCATAAAATCTGATTTAAAATCCAAAGGGTGAGGTGGTACACCCCTGTAATTCCAGCACTGAGGAGGTGCAGGTGGGAGGGAGCATCAGGAGTTCATGGTCATCTTCGGCTATATAACAAGTTTGCCAGTCTGTGTTATATGAGACTCGGGGGGAGAGAGAGGTGTTTGTGTTCTTCGTGGTATATAAAAAATGTGTGCCTTTTTTTGTTATAAGATCCTTTTTAAAAAAAAAAAAAAAAAAAAAAAAAAAAAAAAGACATACATGAATCCAAACAGCAAATGAAGATAGAAATGGTTATGCTTTTCAAGTATATCTAATCAAAGTATAACTTAGAGAGATGTAATTGAAGACTGTGCCAGAAGGTAGTAGCTTACTGAGGTAACTGGCATTTTCTGTGATTTACCTTTGTGGGTGAACAGGCTTCCTGACCTTTCTGAACAAAGTGGAGAAGATATGACTGAGTGAGCATCTATTTGATAGATTGATATCCGGGCATTTCATGAGTATTCTAGCCCTAATACGATGACATTGCTTCATTTTTGAAATTGAACAAGAGTGATTTTTTTGTATGTTATACTTTTACCTCTTTGTAGGCAGCTTTCTCTCTTAGGATAATGAGGGAGAAAGGAGTATATAAATTTTTAAATTGGCTGTTAATTCAAGCTTGTTAAAATTAGAAACGAACCATTTTCTCTTTATAATTGGCTTTGGGAGCTGGATGTGAAGGTGCACACTTGTAATTGCAGCAATCAGGAAGCTGAAGCAGGAGGATCATCACAAGTTCCAGGCTAGTGTGATCTATGTAGCAAGCTCCAAGCCATCCAGGACTACATGGTGAGACTGTGTCTCAAAAGATAATAATAATTGGCTTTGTGGACTAGGATAAGTACAGTCTTGAAAGCTACAGTGAAGAGCCTGTCAGGATGACGCAACATGCAAAGAGCTTCATGGAATTTCTCCCCACAGAAATATTTCTTTCTTTAGTCAAAATTAGTAGAAGCATTCATTTGAGGCCCCTGGAGAGTGACTTACAACACATTGGGAATCATTTATTCAAAATCTGCAGAGCTCAATAACAGTACCGGGAGGCCACAACATCTGAGCTAAAGGCTGCACCCTTTTCCCCACCAATTCTCTATTGCAGAGAGGTATTGTGGAAGATATGTTCCAGGATATTTGGCAGTTGTGTCATAGCTATACCATTTCCCAAGATACAGCGCCATGATATAAAGGTTCTGCCAAGGAGAGGTTCAGAGCTAGCTTCATGCTGACCAGATCCTGGCCCTGCCTGAGGGGCCCGATTTTATTTGAAGTGTGGAGCTAATTATGCCTCTGAGAATTGCTCAGAACAGTAGACTAACCAGCCAACCATCTGTGAAGTCTAATAGCCTTAGTATAGCAGCAGTAGATGACCAGCCAGAAGTTTAATGGAGAGAACAGAGAAAGCAACAGCAAAGGAGGCTGCGCTGAAATCGCTGCTGTACCTGGTGATAGGGCAGAATGTGAATACATGAGGCTGCACTCTCTGAGAAGCAACAGAAAAGGGAAGTGTTTCGGTATTAGTTCCTGACTAAATGTGGGGCAAACTTGTAAACTGCCTGAAGTGTGAAAGCAGTCTCCAAGCTACGTGGAATAAACCATGAAGAATGGAAACCTTGGTGTTTCAGGAGGCTTAAATACAATCTGATAATCATTGGCTAACTGCTAAACTACCAATCCATTGGTAACCCTTAGGAAGTCAGAGTCTTAAAGATAAAAACAAGTAAACACCAGATAGGCTGGCCAGGCTCCAGTGGATGAATTCATTACCGAGGGCCATCTGGGTACACAAACTTGACTTGATAGGCCTTAACATATATGACAATGCATGAAATCAAATGGGGAAGGGAGGGAGGTCTAAATATGATTAAGATGTATGAAATGCACAAAATTCAATAAAAATATATATTGCAAAAAATATAAACAGGACTGGAGAGATGGCTCAGTGGTTAAGGGCACTGGCTGTTCTTGCAGAGGACCTGGGTTTGAATCCCAGCACCCACATGATGGCTAACAATTGTCTCTAACTCCAGTTCCAGGGAATCCACAATACTCTTCTGTACCCTGCAGGCAGTCCATGACATGGGTGCACTTACATACATGTAGGCATAACACTCATACACACAAATTAAAATAAAAATTTTAAAGTAAATGCTAAACAGAGACATTAGAAACTACTCACTATGGGAACAGGCTTCACAGAATTAGTCTGGCCAAGTTACCAATAAGTAAATAAAGAAACAGTAACATGCCGAGAGAGAATCAGTACCCACAGTTGCTACAATATAATATCTGGTGCTTAGTTCAGCAAAATGCTGGGAGACATGGAAAGAGGATCACATGTGATCCACATACCTGAAAAAAATAGGAATAATCTGTAAGGAAGACCAGATGTGAATTTACTGAAAGAGAACTTCAAAGCAACTATTAGAAATATTTCCAAAGATCTAAAAGAAGCTATGTTTAAGAAAAGGAATGTTTGATGAGAATGAATATATCAGTGAAGGATAGGGTGAGCAAAGATACCATTGCCATTGACAATAATGGAAATCCTGGACTTGAAAAAGAGTAAAATAAAATAAAGCTGTAAAGAAATGTGGGACACCATTAAATACTCGCCTAAGAGGAGAGAAAAGGAAAGAAAAAAATTGAAATAGTGACTAACAATGTCCTAAACTTGATGCAGTCTGTACATCCAAGAAGCTAAAGGAAATACTAGCAAATCAAATCTAATAATATACAATATAAGAAGGATTAATTATATACCATGATAAATTGGGATTTACCCCAGGGATGTC